CTCCCTTTTCATCACACCTCATACACCTGCAGGGCTTTGCTGCCCCATCCCAGGGAGTGTCCAAGGCCTCGCTGGATGGGGCAAGATGGGGTAGTGGAAGGTGTCCCTGCCCATGGCAGGGATGAGATGAGCTTTGAGGTCGTTCCCAGCCCAAACCATTCTCAGTCCTGTGAGGAGCAGCTGAGGGAGCTGGGAAGGGGCTGGAGCAGCAGGAGAGCTGAGCCTGGAGCAAAGGAGGCTCAGGGGGGACCTTCTGGCTCTGCAATCCCTGACAGGAGGGGGGAGCCGGGGGGATTTTGGGCTCTGCTCCCAGGGAACAGGGACAGGAGGAGAGGGAGCGGCCTCAGGCTGTGCCAGGGGAAGGTCAGGTTGGACACCAGGAGGAATCTCTCCGAGGACGGAGGGTCAGGCCCTGGCAGGGGCTGCCCGGGGAGGTGTCCCAGGCCCGCGGGGCGCTGGGCTGGGGGTCCCTCACGGGGGTCCCTCAGGGGGGTCCCTCAGGGGGGGTTTCTCCCCCCCCCCCCCCCCGTCATGGCGGGATTCCCGCGCCCCACGTGACGCGGCGGCGCACGTGACGGCGCACGTGACCGGCATGGCGGCCAGCCGGTACCGGCGGTTCCTGCGGCTCTGCGAGGAGTGGCCGGTGGAGGAGACCAAGCGGCAGCGGGACCTGGGCGCGGCCCTGCGGCAGCGTGTGGCACAGGCCTTCCGCGAGGGCGAGAACACCCCGGTGAGCGGGGCCTGGGGGTGGGGGGGAAGGAGTGGGGAAAGGCCGGCGGTCGCGCTCTGAGGGAGGCTTTGGGCACAAACTGCGGGAATTTGGGGCTCACGTGGGGGCTCCCTCCTGAGCTTCGTGGAATCCTGAGCCGGGAGGGAGCCTCGGGGATCGTGGGGTGCATCCAGCTCCTCCAGGGACAGGGCAGGGGTTGTGTGAGCGCTCAGAAGCCTTGGAAACACGGAGCCCGATCAGCCACATCGCCTGTTCCTCCTCAGGGCAGTGGTTTGGACCCAGCACGGTGTGGGCACACTGGGTTTGTACCCAGCACAGTGGTTTGTACCCAGGAGCCCTGGTTTGTACCTAGTTCTTGCACCCTTTGCACCACACCCTTTGCAGGACCCTGTCCCCGTGTCCCGTGGGTACAAAGCGCTGGGAACTGTCAGTGCCCAGCAGGGATCCGGTGAATTGGTGGGATTTCCTTGCCCCCACGCTGCGGGGTGGGCACAGGGTGAGCTGCAGCACAGCCTGACACTGATGGAGTGCAGGGGCTGTACAATTGAATTCCGCCTCCAGCTGTAATTCTGTTGGAGTTTAGGCTTTGCTGCTGAAATAAATTAGGGGATCTGATGCCTGACTTGGCTGCAGACCTCCCCAGGTGTGGAGGTGTTGCTGCAGAATGTAAATGTGCCCTTTCTTAGCATAAAAACGTTGTTCCAGAGATGCGTTTTCGACTTCAAGGGACCATTATAGGCTCATAATCGTGTACTGGTGACCAGAATAGTCTGTAAAAGACATTTCAGGAAGGATTTATTGCTTTTCCATATGCTCAGGACAGCTGGATGTGCTGCACCAGTTGGCTCCAAGATCCCAAAGCTGCCACTCATCCTGGAAATAGGAATTGATGTCTGGTGGCAGTTTGTGTGTAGAGAGGCTGAATTCAGTGAGGGGAATGTGCTGGCAGGAGGAGCTTCTCAGGAGGAGAGGGGAGCTGGAGCCATGAGGGCCTCTTCAGCAATCTAATGTCAGTTTTATTCATGTGCAGTAAGGTTTGCTGGGGGTGGAATGCTCTTAATCACTGTTTCTGCTGTCACTGCTGGAGCCTGAGCCAGGGCTGTTTGGGATGGGGCTGCAGGACACAGGTGAGGATCACCTGCAGTATGATGTGGGCACTCCTGCTGAACAAGGAAAGCTTCTCCTTCCTTCTCCTTCTTTGCATCCCACTCTGTGTGCTGCCCCTGTGCCCATGCCCCAGGAGGAGCCAGGCCTTTTCATCCTGACATGTTTCTGTTGATGTTATTTGTCTTCCCTACCTGTTTCCATCATTCAGGTTTGTTGTCACGGAGCAGCAGTGCAGAGTTCTGGACAAGCTGGCCCCGTTGTAAAACAGGGAAAAAAAAAAACCCGTTGTAAAATAGAAAAGCAGCCATCTACGCTGCTGGGCAGGGGCTGTGCCAGGCAGGTGCATCCCTGTGGGACACCTGGCACAGGCTGGGGATTAGCTGGGTCTGAAATAGAAATCCAGTTACCCTTCACAAGCTGTTCTGTGTCGTTTGTGCTGCTTTCCCTCATCAATTATAGGCTATTTTTAGCCTGCACAGGGAGTTTCTGGCCTCCATCCTGGCACCTTGTCCTGGGTGGGTCCTTACAATGGAACAGGTGACAGAAGTGGCCTCGGAGCAGGGAGGGCCACAGATTTCACAGCACCCCCCACTGATCTGGTGCATTTAGCTGATGCAGAGTTTCAGGTCTGTTCTGGAAATCCCATGTCTGGTTATTCCTGCAGGCCAAGCTGGTGGGAAGTGGAAGGGAAAGGCCTGGAGCAGGACAGCAGGTCTCCAGCATCCAGCAGTGCACTGGAAGTCTCCTGAGCTGCTCCTTCACTGCCTTTTGTCACAGGCCTTGGAAAACAAGGGGGTTTTTGCTGTGGAGGTGTAAAATAACGTGGGTGACGCTTGTGTCCCTGCAGATTGCTGACCCCGAGGCCTGTGACCAAATGTACGAGAGCTTGGTCAGGATCCACACCAACTACTACAAAAACAAGGTGAGCTCTGGCACTGGCCATCACCCCCCTTTTGGGGGGAGTCCTGGAAATGTCCCAGGGACAGATGGGCAGTGGATGCTGCAGTGCCTGGTGCTGGTGGTCACTCAGGGCAGGGCTCTGTGGGGTGGGAACTGGGCAGGAGTTCTTGGCATGGATGAGCAGAATTCCCGGACTGAAAACGAGCTCGGGCTGTGCCAAATGGGGACGTTTGTCCCTCTTTCGTGCACCACAAGTGACATGTTTGTGTCTCTCTCCTTCTCTTGCTCACCTGTGAAGTATCCACGCCTGAAAGACACGACCTTCACCGGGGTGACAGTGGAGGATTGCAGGATGATCCTGGCAACAGGTACTGACTCTGCTTGGTCTGGGAGGGCAGTGCAGGAGGGAGGGAACATTCTGGTCTTTGTGGTGCTCACAGCATCTTTTAAACACCCGGGACTGGAGGGCAGCAGGGGGCTGCCTGCAAGTACAGGGGGGTGTGTGAGGAGGAGTAAGTTCAGAAGTAATTGAGGAGTAATTCAATACAGGAATAATTAATTATTCTACTGGGGTGAAGAGTCGATTGGATTTTGCACTGGCAGGAACAGCAAAGGGTTTCCAAAGGCTCATTGGGGTCAGACAGCAGGAACTGTGTGAAAGCAACACGTTTGCCCTGTCATTCCAACATGGAGCTCGGCTTCTGTTTCACCATCTCCCAGTTCCCTTCGGTGTTCCTTTTGTGTGGGACCTTGGGAGGGAGCCTGGGCAGAAACGCTCTCAGCCACATCCTTTGTGAAGTGCAGAGCTGGAAGCCAGAGCAGTTTTGTTCTGCTCCAGTTCCTAACTTTGATTGCGGTGCGTGGAAACTGCATATCAGTTGTTAGTGATAAGAGACTCCCTGCATTGATTGGAAGGGAGACCAACCTCGCCTCGGGCCTGGAATGGAAATGCATTAAGATGTAAAGTCAGAAAAGGAAAATCTATGGAAGGCAGAGCTGTTTTAAGAGGGGTTTAATTCCTCTGCTTTTCTGCATATCTTCCTCTGTGCCCCCCCATCCTTCTCCCTCTGCAGACATTCTGAAACAGATGGAAGACATGAAAAAAGGGACGTGGAGGAGACTGCGGGAAAAGTTTTCTGCCAAGAAACCCGAAGAGGACTCGAAGTGAGGGCGCAGCTCTCAGCTTCTCCACTGTACATATCCCTGAAGCTCTGTGTGTTGCCATGATGAATAAAACCATTTCTTCCTCTTAGCAACAGCATTTTTGTTCAGCCCTACCCTGTATATCCTTCATGTTTAGTGCCTCTTTTTTTTCTCCTGGAAATCTAGGACAGAGCTTAACTCATCCGTGCTGAAGCCTTGTTGGAGCAGTGTAGGGAGAGAACTTTGTGCTGTCAGACCTGGGCCTTTGTATTACAAAAATGGAACAAGCAGGAGCTGCACAGAGCATTTAAAGCTGTGTCAGCTTTAAATGTGCTTGTGAAGACGAGAGGGCTGATGCGAAAACCTCTCTGTGCTTGTGTTAGTGTGTGTTAGCACAGGGAACGGTGCGAGGCAGGGAGGGAGAACTTTAATCATCACAGTTATTTTCCTTTTGAGAAGATGAGGAGAGGACTGAGGGTGACTTTGCCATGGTGACAGTGGAACACTACAAGAGTTTAATTGAGCTTTCAGTCAAGTGCTGCAGTGCTGCTGGTCGAGCTGGCTCTGTGCAGATTCCCCTCAGTGTGAGGAGGGCTCTGGGTGGGTTATTGCAGAGCTGGGGGGTAAAGGCAGGATTTAATGACATGCTGCTATATAGGGCCATAAACACATCTCAAGTGCTATGCAACTCCACTGTTATGGCCTTTTTTATTCCTTTTTAGAGCTTTTATGGTTGCATCAGTGTCTGTTCTTGGGATTGGGGCTGGGGTTGGCTTGGGAAGGATGAGTGTCTGGAGCAGAGCTGTGCCAGGGCTCCACAGCACCAACAGCTGCTCCTTTTTATGGGTTTCAGCAGCGTTTTCCTGGCCAGCAGTGAAAGAATTTGGAACTGCAGCAGGCTCTAGTCCAAAGCTTCAGGAACCAGGGCTGCTGTTCACGGTGGTTCCTCATGGCAGCATTTGGCATCAGACTGGAGCGTCGTGTGACAGCCAGAGCTGAGAGCAGGGGGTGTGGAGCACCTTGGGTGACAGCCCTTGTTTGGCTTCAGGGCCTGGGGTGGTTCTGTGGTTCTATTTACCAGCCCCCTCACACAGCAAAGGGCACAGGAAGGGAACTTTCCTTACCACGTTTAAGTTTTTATTATAACATGATTTTGTATTTAATTTAGTTAAGGCAATTTACACTTCAGTTCTTAAGTAACAACAGTAACAACTAAAAAAAAAAAGTAAAACACGACACCAGAGATGAAACTAAAACACAGGACACCCCTTCACAGTGAACTCCTGTAAACCTGCAGGCTCCTACTACTGCTGCCCAAAGACTCTTGGTCCACAGAAGGCAAAAGACTAGTTCACACTAGGACAAGCTCAGCTCCTCATCTGGTGAGTTAATTAAATTAAATCCACCTCCTCGAGTTCAGCTCCTCTTTACTGCACCACATGATGAAGAGAATTCTTTAAGTGGAGGGGGATCAGCGTGGAGCAGCCCAGCAGATACCATGGCTGGTTTGCAAAGATCCACAGGGACTAGTGGCACTCGGAATAAGTTAAATATTGCGGCCCTACAGCTACTTCCCCCACACCCGAGGGGATGGAGCGCATGGAGATAAAGATACAACCCTCCACATTTGCAAAATAAAGAGTTGTTGCAATGAGGAATAAAAGTCCTGTATGATTTATCTTCCTACGAGGGCGGTAGAGAAACACCTGGGCCCAGGTGTGGGGAGGAATCCGGCCAGTCCCTGCTCCTGGAATTGTTTACAAGCGCTCTAAGGGAAATGCTGCCTGGGAAGCCCTTGGCATGTGGTCTGTCGTCCCCAGACAGTGACATCCATGCCTGGAACCCAGGGAGAAGCAGCCTCCTTAGCTGGCACACAGGTGCAGTCCCTCGGTGGGTGAAGGTGCCGCTGTGTCTCAGTGGTTCATGGTGTTCTGGACATCCACAAACCCCATCCTCTGCCTGCGCTTCCGCTGCTCCGTCATCTGCAGTGCACACAAGGACACAGGTGAGGCAGGAACCAGGCCCTCCTGCTCTGACACACTCCCTGGGATCTGACTGTGCTGCTTTGAGCCTCTGCCAGAACACCCTGCGAGTGGCACTATCAAAAAACCTGTCCCAGGTGTCCCCAATTCCCCCCAAAAGGAGCTGCGGGAGCCCTTTGCTTGCACTGTCCTTGTGCCTCCCCCTCCCTGCCCTCGGTGTCTGTTCTGGGGAGGACAGGGGTTCCCATACCTGTTCCTTGAGCTCGTTCAGCTGGGAGGTGAGGTGGGACACCAACTTCATCGTGGTGTTCAGTTTGTCCTGCAGATTCCGGATCTCGTTCTGTTCCCCTTCCCCTTCATTGCTGACCAGGGACATGGCTCGCATCCGGGGGAACCAGTCCAGGTTCTTGTTCTAGAAAGGCAGCCATGGAGAGGGGAATTGGAGGTGGGGAGAAGAAGAGGAAGGAGACCTGTGTGGGTCTCACAGGCAGCCCGTGCTTAGGGATTAAAAAATTCCCTTTGCAAACATCTCTGCACATTTCCCACAAACCGGCTATTTCTCGTTTGTTTTGTGCAGCCTTTTGGGCTCAAGTGCAGAAGTTTTTCTTTCCTCAATTCTCTTTCCCTCTCTTGCCTTGAAACCCCCTTGAAGCCACATTCCTTCCTGCCTGGTTCAACCCTTAAACTCACGACCCAAACCATCGGACACTGTTGGTGCTGGCTGGGATGGCAAAGTGGAAATACCCAGCTAAGGACGAACTGAGGCACTTCTGCATGACCAAGTATTTTCCAAAGGGACTTCTGAGAGCTGTTTTTCTCTGGCCAGCCCCTTGCTCTAATACCCCCAGGGCAGGCAGGCTGGGATGGCCCGAGGGGCCCTGTACCTTTATCATCTGTGCCACGTAGCTCTCGGGCCCCGTGTAGTCCGTCTTGTTCTTCACCCGCACCAGCACAATGAAGTACAGGTAGTTCCACATGTTGTGCTCGTATTTAATGTGCTCCTCAAAGGACACGGTCTTGTTGTCAAACTTGTCCCGTTCCAGGCCTGGGAAAGGCAGTGAAGGTTGGAGAAGGGGAGGGGAGAAGGTAAGAATTGAGCAGCAAACGTGTGAAAGGACGTACAGAAAACAGCATCCTCCCCCAGGGGTGTCCTTAAAGTGCTTTTAATAATTAGTTGGCATTTAGCACACAACAAACCTACAAACCAGGGGGAAATCACAGAATAATAGAATGGTTTGGGTTGGAAGGGACCTTAAAAATCACCCAATTCCAGCCCCCTGCCATGGGCAAGGACACCTTCCACTAGACCAGGCTGCTCCAAGTCTTGTCCAACCTGGCCTTAATCACTGTACCCACATGCACTGACCCCTCGCTGAACAGATTTGAGTTTTGCAGTGATAAATAAAAAACAGGAACCAGTTGAAATTCTTTTCCTTCCCCCAGTCTTGGAGGGGAGGAAGAACTTTGGGGCAATTCCTGTGTTCCCAATGCTCACCACAGATGAAACAGGTGGTCTTCAGGATCTCTTCCTTCTTTTGTTTCTCACTCCTCAGATCAGCAAAGGTGTCAATAATGACCCCAAAGATGAGGTTAAGGACGATGATAATGACAATGAAGAAGAAGAGGAGGTCGTAGACAACCCGAGCAGGAAACAGGGACTCCTGTAATGGATGAGAGGGAGAACTGGGAGTCTCGCCCAGCTCTGCTCCAGCCACGCTGCCTCACTGCATGGCCGTGGCTGAGGGGAGCAGAGGGGGGATTGGGAACGGAGGAGAGGAACACGGGGGATGGAGCTGGACGTGTCCCAGGCAGGGAGGGCAGTGGCACAGCAGTGAATGCAGCAGGATTTAGCGGGAGGAAGGGCCCAGGTGCTGCCCCCGCTCACATCCTTGGAGGGTTTCCGCAGGATGTCCCCGACGCCGCCGCCGTTCCGCAGCCCGTGGTTCAGCACGGTGACGATGCACATGAGCAGCGTGTCACAGGCGCGCTCCCACTGCTCGGGCTCAGCTTCTGCAGGGGGAATAAGGGCACAACTCAGGGCACAGACAGGGCTGCAGCACCAGGCCCTCCCGGGGGATGGCTCTGGCTGTGGCGGTGCAGGAGCTGTGATGTCCCAACGTCCCAGCAGCTCCCGCAGCCGCTCCTCGCTGTGCAGGCGTTGGCCGAGTGCTCCTGGAGCTCAGCTTCCTTGATGACTAACTGAATCTACTTCAACATTTTTTATGCCAGGGTCAGTGCAAAATTCACAGGCCTCCTGCCCAGTATGAGCCAGAATATGGGCTGTTTGTTTCTGTCTTGGAAAAGCTGGGATTTTTCTGAGCTGCCTGGCAAACCTGCTCTGCCACAAAGAGTCAGCCTTCCCAAGGAGCTCCCTTACCTTCCAAGGCAGTGGGCGCAGTAGAGCAGCTGACTTTGTCACTGCTGCACGATTCCATGAAGGTCTCCATGTTCCTTTGCATCCCCAAGGGATCATCTGCAAGGAACAGAGACCACAGCCCTGTCAGAGCAGGCACTCGCCTTAGCAAAGCTCCCCAGAACTTCTCCACTGCTTCCAAGGAGATTCCAAACCTCCTGGAAAAAATGTTGCTTCATATTGTCCTAGATTTTTCTAGGCTCTGAATCTTTTCTCAGGGTTCAGTGAGATTCCACAGCGCTGACCCTTCATTTGCAGCTCTGTACCCCCTTCTCTGTCACCACTAACCCCAAACCCTGCTCTCTGCAGCACGAGGTCCCTGTGTCAGCACAGGCAGGTGTCTTCTCTGTGACCCCAAAACCAGTGCTCCCAGTTTCCAAGGCCCTCAAAGAGATGTGTGTTCCTCAGCAGGGAGGGAGCAGGGTCCCAACGTCCCCTGCTCTGCCCTGTCCTGAGCAGGGTGAGGGCTGACCAACCTTTGCTGTCCGGCAGACGATCCACCTCCAGGATGAAATCATCCTTCAGGAACAGGAAGCCCACGATGGAGAAGAGGTAGACGAGGATGAGGGCCAGCAGGGCTGTCAGCAGGATGGAGCGGCCGTTCCGCGTCACGCTTTTGATGACATTAAACAAGGTCTCCTCACGGTAGATCAAGTCAAACAACTGAAAGGACCCAGGAGCAAAGAAATGCTGCAGGGTGCTTTTCCTGATAATGCCTGGCCTATCTATATCCCCTTTTATCCTGAGATCTTGGATCGCTCAGCAGACCTTGACTAACTTTCGCACAAAGCCTTTAAGTTTCCCAGCTTACTGAAGGGAAGCAGAGAAGAATGAAGTGACTTATGCACAGCAGGAGAGCCAAGAATAGGCCACGTTCACCCTGGCTCTGCCCTCGCCAGCTCACGTTGTCTCCCAGCTGACCCAGATAAAGTACACAGCAGAGATTAGAGAGAGAGATACAGCACAGGACCAGGAGAGAGACAGCAATAGATAATGTTGGGAAGCAGAAAGATCAGCCCACGCAAAGATTAGAGCGCAGGGAATTGTTCTCTCTGCTATCAGTCGGCCCCTGGAAGGTGTCACGGGAACCTGTCGGCTCCTAAGGCGGCAGCCAGGCCACCTGTGCCCCAAACACCTGCATTTACTGTACCAGGATGCTGTAGAAGAGCTCGTGCACGAAGAGCCCCAGGACGCTGGTCACGATGTAGCCCACGTGGTACAGGAACTCCACATCCATGATCATGGCCTTGTACCCGCGGATGAAGGTGCCCCGGTTGCCCACGAAGCTCACCACGAACACGATCTTGTTGGTCAGCTGGGAACAGCCAGAGACAGGAGGGAGGGGGGTTTGCTGCGCTCCAGGGAGGTGGAGCAGCCTCGGGTGCCCCAGCACGGGCAGCACTTACGTTGAGGGCTCCCAGGATGTTGAGCGTGAGCCCGATGCCCAGGTAGTAGATGGAGCGCAGGATGAGCGCCACGAGCAGCGGGCGGACGCCGTAGCGCTTGGTGAACAGAGCCATGATGGAGAAGCAGATCAGGATCCAGAAGAGCAGGGAGATCAGCGGGGAATCCAGCACTCCTGGGAAGGGGAGACCCACGGAGATTAAATGGCAGGAGGTGAAATGCAGCTGCCAGTCGGGCACTACTGCTGCCAGGCTGTGCAGGAACACTAATGAGCTCGTTATCAGAGAGAGAGATGGTGCTGGACTGCAAAGACTTGTATTGATTCAGATGGTTCTTACTGATACATTTTCTACCATCTTTTATCCAACATCTCACTGTAGATGATGGAGGCTTTGCCTGACAACAGGAATAAATTCCATCACCGTTTCCCACATTTCACAAAAAGGGAAAGTGCAGCCCGGGGAGAAGAGAGATTTCCCTAAGAAGGAAGCAGTGGGAGGGCTGGAAACTGAAATCCTGACTCAATCCCTTCCTTTGCCCAGCAAGAAAGACTTGGAGCTTTAGGAGCCCAAAGGAGGTCAAGGATAAGGGCAGTACAGTATGGGGAGCAGTTTTCCTTCATATGAGGATCCTCCTCCCTCTGACCCCGAGGAGCAGCAGGTGCTGGGGCACTTACCCATGGAAGTGGCTTCCACGTAGGGGTAGAAGAAAGCAATGATGATGTTGATGAAGACAGCCAGGTTGAAGGAAATGCTTCCCCAGAGCGTCATTCTGCGGGAGAACCAGTACATCAGCGGCATGCCTGGGGGGAGAGGAGGCAGACACACAAAGCTCAGCCAGCCTCGGGTCAGCTGGGGAGACTGGGCCCTCCCAGACCCCCTGTGTCATCCTGGACCCCTGATGGGCTCAACTCAGGGCAGCTGGTGGCCCTGGAGTGACCCAGACTCCCACCCCTTCCCAACGTTCATAAAATACACTGAAAGCATCCCTCCCCATCTGCTGCAACAGGAGTGCACCTTCTGAACGGCTGTGCTCACATTCCTGGGTTTCCCAGCCCTCTGGCCTGCTCTGACACCTTGGGTTCCCCCCCCAGGGAATTCTGCCTCGCTCTTACTGCGCAGCTTCTTCTGCCACTCCATCTCGTTGTGCAGGAAGGACGACTGGTCGAAGAAGTCGCTGACTTTGCTGCCCTGCTCATCCTGCTCCGTGGTGGTGAACAGCCTGTACTTGGTCTCCTTGGTGAGGAACTCACAGATTCCAGGCACCGGGAAGATGATCTGCTCCATGCTCCGGTCCAGGCGCACGATCTGTGGGAAGCAGAGCAGGGAGCCATCAGATCCTGCCCTGCCCTGCTGTAGTTCCCTCCCTCCTAGACCCAGCTGTGCCTTCCCCTCCTGCCTCCCCTCCACAGGGCCCAGACATCACTGGGCACTCGTCTGGAAGCCTCTGAATGGACCCATCTGCAAGGGGATCCATGCCAAGCATGAGGATGGGGCTGCTGGATCAGCTGCATCCCACTGCTGCTGGGAGAGAAGGGAAGGGTCTGGGAGGCAGCTCATCCCTCAGCTCCATGGGCTCTGCTAGTGCTCCTGCCAGCACAGGGATGGGAAGGGGGAAGGCTCCTGGTGCAAAATAACAGGGCATGAGGTGTCTGGAGCCTCGTGGGATTCATGGATCGTGGGCAGGCTGGAAACCCAAGAGCCAAGAGGTCTTGCCTCGATCTGGGACGTGTGTTTCTCATAATATGCCAGCGGATCCTCCTCTTCCTCCTGCACCGGGGCCGTCGACTTCAGCATCTGCGACAGCTGCTTGTTGTTGAGGCTGAGCTGGGGGGGGAGAGGGAGAAGGAGAGAGGGAGGATGAGTGTGGCTGCAGCTGGGAGCCAGGTCCAACTGCTCCGACAACGTGCCTCAACATCTCCCACAGCTGATGAGGCTTCAAGGAAAAGCAAATGAATTAAAGCTTTCTAAAGGGGTGCGAGTGCTCCCTGCCGTGACAGACATTCGATTCCCTGCAATAATTACATCCAAGTGCTGCTAATCCACAAATTACAAGGCAGTGCTCACAAAACCCCAGGGAAATCATATTCCTGCTGAATCTTGTCGGGATCTAAGGTACATGGGCAAGAAACGACAGCAAAAGACTCAGCTCTTCCTTTCTGGAGGGAAGGGGAGAGAGTGGGTAACAGCAGGACCCCCCCAGGGCCCCCAGCCTGTGTCACCCCGTGGCTGAGCCCCACACTGATGTGTCCTTCTCTCTTTAGTCCCCCTGAGGAACATCAAAATCCATCAAATCTTAAACAGCAAAGTCCAGGAGGGCTCAGTAAGGGTGGGAGACTCTTTGCAGCCCCTGGTCAGGGTGGCTCCGAGGGGCTCTGCCTCCACCCCCGAGGCCCCTCCATACCATGGATGAGATGCCCTCCTCCTCTTCCTCCTGGATTCGCTTCACTGGCTTCAGGAGCTGCTGCAGAGACTTGTTGTGTCGGGAAAGCTGGAAGAGCACGTGGATAGTGGCAGTGAGCACAGGCTGCAGGGCAGCCACTGGCAGCCACAGGAGTGGGATAGGGGTGCAGGGGGAGCAGGATGGCTGGAACGGGGGGCTGGCTTTCTACCAGAGCCCAAAGCACACTTGCCAGCCATGCCTCCCTAGGGGGCCAATCTGGTTGGGGCAAATGTACACAAATACAGAGAAAAATGTGCAGTCTGTGAGTAGGAGCCCAGCCTGGCAGGTCCCTGCTCTCACAGCTCCCTACCTGCAGTGCCAGGATATAAATGTTGTGACCAACTTCCCGGGGGGAAACCTCGGCGTTCTCACACTCCTCCTCCTGCAGATAAGCCTTCTTAATCACATCCACCTGCAAGGCAGCAGAGGGGCAGTGAGTCCTCCCCATCTCCCTGCCTCAGCTCCCTCCTCTAGAAAACCCTTGGGCAGGGAAGCTGGAGCAGAAGGACCAAGTGAGATGGTTACTGGATGCAAACCAGAAAATGCAGCAGGAGCTGAGGCATAAGAAGTTCAGCCATGGGCTGGGGTTCGGTGGGGCCAGGCTGGGGCATTCCCAGTTCCCTTACCAGTTCCTGTGGACGGAGGCTGATGAGGATCCGCTCGGCATTTTCGCTGTCGTGCCTGCTCTCCATGAGGGCCAAGAGGAGCTTGGAGGCATTGTCCTGGTGAGGAGAAGCCCTTGCTGAGGGCAGCTGTGCCCTGCCACTGCCCAGGGCTTTGGGGTGGGCAGAACCCCCCTGTGCCCCAGCCAGCTGTGACTCCCCTGTGCCAGAGGCACCTGAGCCTCGTGCAGTGGAGAAGCACCAGCCCTGTCCCACCGAGCCCATGTGTTCCCACACCCGAGGGTCTGACACGTGCAGGGTCCCCTCTACGGGGAGCACCAGAGCCCACAGCACAGCCTGTGACCCTGCCAGTGAGTCCACGCCATGACACGTGCAGTGACACACGTGCAGTGACACATGTGCAGTGACACACACATGCAGTGACACACACACACACACACACACACACGTGTGCCCACCATCCCTGCCCGGGGCTCTGGGTACCTTCAGCTGCAGCACCAGGTCCATGCGGTACTTGCAGAGGGGGCTGATGTCGTTCAGGATGAGGGCTGTGATGATGTCGATCCCGTTGGACTCGTGGGTCACGATGCAGCTCTGGGGGAGCCAGGCAGTGAGTTATTGCACGCACCCTGCCAGTCCTCCCAGCTCCACCCTCCAGCACAGCCCCCCGGTCCAAACCACTGCCCTGCCTGCAGCCCTGACTCTGCCCAGTCACCCCAGGAGCCCCAAAACCCCAAACCTGAGGACCCACAGGAGACCCCCGACCTGGTTCTCGTGGCAGGGCCCCTGGCAGTACTCGGTCAGGGTCTCCAGGGTCTGGGTGATGAGGGCCACGTTGTACTCGTTGATGTAGAGGCCCAGCAGCCCCAAGCCCCCCGTGGTGCTGCCACACATGATGTCCAGGAACTGCAGGGTCTCACACACCAGGTTGTAGTTGGTTTTGTTGTTCTGGCACCGCAGGAAGTTCTGTTGAGCAAAGTCCAGGAGTGAGGCCAAGTGGCCCCACTTGGGGGGCCAGTCCTGATCCCTCTACCAACACCGTTCCAGCTGCACTTTGATGGATATTTGGGCTGGGACTGTCCCTGTAACCTGCAGACCTGGAGAGCAGCCCTCAGTCCCACAGCCAGTCCTGCCATAAACAGCTCCCTCCCCAGCACCAGGCTATCCACAGGGGATGGTGCATTGCAGCTGGGGAAACTGAGGCACAGAGTCACTGCTGCATTGGCTTTTTGGGACCAAACTGGGGCAGAGCCCAGCCTTGCCCCCCCCCAGCCCCGTGGCCTGACCCCCAGAGCCCGAGAGCCCCACGACCAACCTGCAGGTCCCGGTTGTGGTTCTCGCAGAGCAGCTGCAGGAAGCGCAGGATGGGCTCCATGATCAGCACCGTCACCCCCATCTCATTGTTCTGGCCCTGCTCCCCCGTGTCGTGGCCCTTCCGAAACCCCACGGCCACCGGGTACCGCGTGGGGGTGCCGGGCATCAGGAAGGTGTCTCCTCGTCCTGGAGGGAAATCTCCTGGTCGGCATCGGGCTGTCAGAGGGGCCCCCCCTGCCGAGGGGACACTCCCCTTACCTTTGGTGCCAGGGTCTGGCTCGTCCTTGTCCTCACGAGGCTTGTTCCCGATGTCACTCATGTTCACCGACACCGTGGACTTGGTCTCCTGCTGCGCCTTCTTCATCCGGTCGTGCAGAACCTTAAAGAACTTCTCAGACTTCTTGTCGCTCGTCATGAGGTTGTAAAAGGATTTCTGGGAGGAGGGAGGGACAGTCGTTCAGGTCTCCACCACAGGGTCCAAACTGTCCCTGCCCCTCTGAGCTGGCAGCCTCGGCACGCAGGACCTTGCCCGAGAGGACCTGGGTTCTGCCTGGAACCCCACTGGGTTTTTCACCTACTATTTTTGACTTCCCTATGGTAAAGAATTTGGGATAACCCCGGAGTTCCCATCCAGGAGCCACAGCCCTGAGCCATTTTAGGAATACCCGGCAGAGGGCATCAGCATAACTCCAGAAATAACCTGGAACCACCTGCCCCATCCACAGGCTCCATAGATCCAGCCAGAGAGCTGGAAATCTCAAACCATCAGATTTTGGCACAAACACAGGCAACCAAGAGGTACTCTGCTCAAACCCACTGTCCAGGGCTGAGCCCTGCCCCGTGCCCACGCTGTCCCTGTGCTGGAACTGCCACGCTGCCCACACCAAACCCCAGCTGCTGCCCACACCAAACCCCAGCTGCTGCCCACACCAAACCCCAGCTGCACAAGCCCCCTCAGCACCTGGATCTCGGTGTTGCCGCCGTCCAGCAGCCGGATGGCCAGCAGGATGCTCTCCTGGAAGATCTTCTCGTTCTTGGTGTTCATGATGAGGTCAGCCACCAGCTTGGTGGCCCCCTCCCGGTCCAGCCGGCACTGGACAGCGGCGATGGCAGACCAGTCCTGGTCCTGGCCTGTGTGAGAGGACACGAGGGATGTGATGGTGTGGCAGTGCAGGAGAACCAGCACAGCTACACCACTGCTGGACCATCTCCCCAGATCCTTTACTCCCATGGATGTGGGGTCATAGCAACTACCTACAGACCTGACCCCACCATGGATCAGGAGCCAGGGCTTGGATGTGTGTGTGAGCAGCGCAGAGAGGCAGGGAAGGGGCAGGAGAGGGGCACTCACCTCCCCCAGCAGCATCCCCCATCTCCCCTTTGGAGCTGGACCTCTTGTTCTGCAGGTAATTGTTCATGAGTGTTTTCCGCAGCAGGTTGCCCTGCCAAGACAAACACAGGTCACGAGTGTCCTGGGGCAGGGCCAGCACTGGGGCTGAGCACCCCTGGGAGCAGGGGAGGGCTCTGCCAGCCCGGAGAGAGGGGCTGTGGACCTGCCACGAGCCCACAGTGCTCACCCTCTCGCCATACTTGTTCCTCTTCACCAGCATCTGCTGCAGTGTCCTCAGCACCTTGATGCAGAGCTTCTCCTCTGTCTCCATGAGGTCCTTGGTGTGCTGCACCAGCCTGGCACAGCAAAGCCATTGTCACACCACCCTCCGGGCACAACCCACGCAGGATGAAGGTCCCCAGCCCCTCCCAGCACCCCCTGGCCCTCACTTGGACAGGAATCCCCCGCTCTCGCATCGCTGGAACGCCTCCGTCCCCTCCATGAAGAGCAGCTCTGGCCGGTGCAGGACGTCCACCAGCACGGACAGCTCGGCCTCCACCAGCGGCTTGAGGCGATCCTCCAGCGCGGTGATGATGTCCTACAAGCCACAGCATGCACCTTCAGGGCCAGAGCACGTCCAGGAGCCACGGGCATGGCAGAGGGAGCCTGCAATGCCAGCGCCTCCCTGCCACCTGCCCCACGTCACCCCCTCCCCTGCCCTGCACCTGCAGCTTCTCTATGATGTTCTTGTAGTCCCACTGGTTGGGGGTGGTGGAGACGCGGGGGAAGGTGCGTGTGGCTGTCTTGTAGCTGGAGGTGTTCCTCTGCACGGTGCTGGTGGAGCTGCTGTTGAGCAGGGAGCTCACATGGGCGTCCAGGTCCATGGGCAGCGCGATGGAGCGGCTCTTGGCTGTGGGACACCGGGCCAGGGTTGGGGACAGCCCCGACCCAGCTGTGTCCCACCACCCTGCCCGGGATCAGGCACCCCTTCACCAGCATTCACTTCATTTGCAGCAGAGATTTGGGTTAAAGACAAGAATCAACTCCTTTAGGCCAGTGGGGGCTGCAGTGTTTCCACCCATCCCTCCCACTGCAGCACAACATCACCCACAGCCCCCCCAGCCCAGCAGAGGGTGGAAGGAGGCAGCAGCTACACCTTTTGGTTGGGAAAGCCCAGCGTGGAGATGTTGTAAGCACCCTGCCCTGAATTCCAAAGGGAAATCCCCACCCAGTGCCCAACCACCAGCAATCCTTTCCATGGTGACTCAGTGCTTAAAACCCTCATCCTGAGTCAGGCAGCTGCATGCTGAGGGCAAAGCCCTGGCCAGGGAAAACCACCACAAATGTTGGCTTTGTGTCCAGGCAGGGACACACCAGGGAGCTCCCAGCCAAGCCCAGGCTCCAGTTATCCCCACACCACCCTGGTCGTGCTGAGCCGCAGCTCAAGGAAAAGCACACCCTGGAGCTGAACCTCCCTGTTCCCAGCCAGCAGCCCCTCACTGTGGCCTCCTGCCCACCCCTGCAGAGGGATGGTGGCTCCTGCTCCCTGCTGGGGCTCGGGCAGCTCAGGCTGGCCGTGTCCCTTGTCCTGGGGGCACCGGGCAGGGCTGTGGCAGGGCTCTTACCGACCATGGCCAGCGTGCGGATGCAGGACTCCACCGAGCTCTTGTGCTGCTGCTGCAGCCAGGGACACTCCAGCAGCCTCATGGTGGACTGGAGAAGCTGCACCACGATGGTCTGGTGGGTCTGAAGGAGAAAGCAGGCAGGTGTGTGTCAGCACAGGGTGTCCAGATCTCGTTTTGGGGGGCTGGAGCAGCTGTTTTGCTCCCCCAGCCATGCTGCCCGTGCAGTGCCTTGTCACCTGCAGCGAGGTGCTGTTCTCCGAGAAGGGGGAGCTGAAGAACGCATTGATGGTGTCCAGCACCACTGTCAGCACGTACTTCTCCAGCGTGGCGTCTGGCAGGCGCTTCTCTCGCTTCTTGCACATCTGTGAGGGGAGGAGGATGCTGATGGCACACAGGTGAGGGGCTCATGTCTGGCCAGATGCTGCTGGCACACGGTGCTGCCAGGACCGTGCTGAGCTGAAGGACACGGTGGGTGACACAGCTCCTGGGTCCATGACTGAGAGCCCTGACCACTCCCCAGCTCCTGCAGTAGCAGCTACACGAGTCCCCACAGTGCCCATGTCCCACAGGCAGCCCTGAGGGAGCCTTGGGGACACCAGTCTGTCCCCATCCAAGCCACTGCTGCCGTGTCCCTCCCACCCAGCCCTCCCCATGCACCTGGGCCATGTCCAGGGTGAAGTTCTCAAACAGAGTCCAGATGTGGTTGCTGGTGTAGATCTCCTTCATCTCCACCTCCGTGTCCACGTAGCAGTGGTTGACAAAGTTCACGTAGGCCATCTTCACCTGCCAGGAGGGGGCAGGGGCAGGGGCACCGTCAGAAGGCAGTTGGTGCAAAGCCCCCATCCCTCTCCTGGCAGGCTCCCCGTACCTCCGTGATGCAATCCTCGTGTGTCACCACCCGCACCACGTCCTCCAGGGGCAGCAGGGACGTGCACTTGATCTCCGTGTAGACGTTCTTGCCCTCAGCACAGGCAGCCAGCAGGTCCACCAGGGAGATGTGGTACATCAGGGGACTGTTCTCCTCCACCCCATCCCTGGCTGCCGTCATCATCTCCAGGAGGGTGGCCAGGGAAGCCTTGTCGTTGTAGAAAACCACCACGTCGTCCCCGGCGTTGGTGAGCTGCAGGGAAGGGTCAGTGGTCACCACTCTGGAAAAGGAGGGTCAGAAACCTCCAAGGCCAGTGGTGTCCTCTGCAGCAGAGGGACAGTAGAGGTCAGTGAAGGGTGACAGGGACATGTGTCTGCAGGGAAAAACGGGCATTTGCAGTGCAATCAAAAATAACAGCTCGTGGGACTCCAAAACTGCCTCTTGGACCTTGCATTGGGCTCCTGGAGATGTTTCTTACTCCAGGGAGGAGCCAGCGTGGTTGGAAGGCTCTTCCCCAAGGAAGAAGCCAGTGGTGCAGGTTCCAAGAGCGATGCCCTGGTACAGCCCCACTCCCGCCCCTGGTGCTCACCTCGGTCATGATCATGTCCTGGCACTTCTTGACGTACTTGCCCTCGGCCTTGATGATGGTGTGCAGGAAGTCGAGGTACTGGACGTGGCGGCCGTGGGTGGCCACGCAGTGGATGAAGTGCTGGGGCACCGTCTCGTTGATCTCCGAGCAGAGTTGGTAGTTGTTGAGGAAGATGTGCTGCATCGTCTCTGCCTCCAGCAGCTGTGGACCGGGGCACAGAGTGAGGCCTGGGGGCTGCAGGAACAGCATCCCCCTCCTGCCCTGCCCCTTCCTCTCCAGGGTCTCCTCCTGGCTTTCCATCCCTTGCTCTCAGCCCCAGGAGTGGTTCCCAATTCCCTCCCTGTGCTGCTCCCTGTGGCCGCCCCTCGGAGCCCTCTCCTTACCCCTGGGGTCAGGAACAGGTTGAGGTGTTTGTGCAGCAGGGCCTGGTTTTCCTGATTGCCAGCACAAAACTTCTGCAGGAATTGGTGGGTGAACTTCAGGATCTCCATCATCTTGGCATCCCCCTGAGGAAGGAGAAACACCCAGAGCTGGGAAGGATGGAGAGTGGCAGGAGATACTGCCCCACTGCCTGCCCAGCCACCACGCAGGGGGGTCCCTGCATCTCCCCCTTGCCCTGGGCACTCAAGACCAGTCGGTTTCTGCCCACCCACCTTCTCATACGGGATCTGCAGCAGGTCCAGCATCACTTTGTGGGCGTCCATGTTCTTGAGCAGCCGCTGCTGCTTCTTGCGCACCTGCTCCCCGACCCCGCACATCTTATTGAGCCGCTCCAGGATCTGGGGCAGAGGGACCACAGTGGAGAAGAGCTGAGCGTGGGGCCCCTCAGGGTGGCCACCAGCACTGGGGCTTGCTTGCAATCCAGGTGCTTCCTCCACAAATCCCAGTGCTCCCTGGCACCCCCTCACAAATCCTCCCTGCAGCACCACGCAGAGCCCTCGTACCTGTCACCCACCCAGTGCCCTCCCGTCCCCCCAGTGCAAGGCTCACTCACAGCCCTGGGGACCTGATGGTTCCTCCCTGTGTTGAGCTGGCAGGAACAAGCCCTGGCTTGGACTCGTTTCTGCTGAACCCCAGAAGAGCTTGGAAATCACCCCAGGCTTTCATCCCTTCCTGCTGGTGCCCCCCAGTGCCTCTGGGAACAGCCCTGGCGGTGGGGCTTGCTCTCACTCACCCCCTTGACTATCTGGTAGTTCTCGCTGCTCTTCTCTCCCGGAGCAATGACCTCCTCATCGGCAGCGTGCTGCAGGGGACACAACAGCACCAGGGTCCCACTGGGCCTCTCCAAAGCCTGGGGCACAGTGACACCCCGCAGGACCCTCCTGCAGCCTCCTCCTCCAGGGAGAGGGGCACGGCCCATTGAGAGCTGTGAGGGTTGGACCCTCTGCCTCCCACTGCTTTCCCACCCTGCTTCCCAGGGCTCTCACCTCCTTCTTCTCCTTCTTGTTCCCCTCCACTGCGCTGTCCCCTTTGCTGCTGCCCTTCTTGTCCACCCAGAGCTCCGATTTCTCCACCATCGTGCGGAGTTTGTCCAGCTCAGACTTGATCACCTTGTAGTTCTCCACATCCTGGGCTGAGATCAGGAGCTGAACCTGCAGCAACATTCCCAGGGGCTTCCAGTCTGGGGCACAAACCCCACTCCTCTCCTCTCCAGACCTCCTTCTCAAGGAAAGGGCCAGGCCCCACTCCAAATCCTGCACCCACAGCCAAGAGCAGTGTCCCCCCAGGGTCACCTGTTTGAAGGTGTGCAGGACCTCCTGCCTCTGGCTGAAGTGCTTGAAGAGGAGCTGCAGAGAGCCCGAGATGAGCGGGGGGTAGTCGTGCATCGTCAGGTGGATCAGCACCCGCAGGAACATCCTCCCTCCCTCGTCATCCACCTCCAACATGCTGCTCGACTTCCTGAGCCGGGATGGAAGCGCTCGGCGTTACCAGCCCCGCGGGAGCTCCCCTGTGCTCAGTCACCCCCCTGGGCTCATGGCCGTGGCTCCATTAGCCTTTAGAGCCTCCTCTTCCTCATCACCCGCAGCTCCCAGCCTGCAGGATGGACAGGAGGGGAAGAGCCCTCCTGCCTGTGGGATAACCACACCGGGGGCAGGGACTCACCCCACACCGAACATGGCCTCTGCGTGCTCGCCGATCCGGTCCAGGTTCATGGCTGCAGCTGAGGGGAGAGGGAGGGGGTTCAGGGGTGCCCAGCGCCTGCCTGGGAGTTGGAAGGAGCCCACAGGAGCCAGCCCAGCTCCCTGCCCTGAGCATCCACGGCAGACACCTCGTCCCACCTGCACAAACTCCCACCCCACGCTCCCTGCCAGCAGCGGCGAGTGGAGGCTGCTGGAGCTGCCACCTCTGCCATCTGTGTCCTGCCAGCCCGTGGGACTGCTGAGCTGGGGGTGTACCAGGAGCAAAGTGGGAGAGTTACTTGTGGAGTCGAAGGCTGGAGCTGTCCCGTCGGCTGCACTGTCCTGCATGGGGTAAACTTCCACAAACTCCTTCTTGAAGACGGAGAGCAGGTAGGAAATCCTGTAGTCCAGCCGCACGTTCAGGATGAACTGGGAGCAGTGAGGAAGAAGAAAGCAGGAGTGAGTGAGTGCCCTCTTCATGCCAGCTGTCCTTCTGCATCAGAAAATCACAGCCCCACTGGCTCCAACCTGCAAGATCTCCAGGATCTTCAGCTTGGTCTCCATCACCACAATGTTCTCGTTCTCAATGCTCCTCCCTCTGTCCACTTGCTCTGGGGCTGACCCAGCACTGAGGCTTGGGGGGCTGAAGATGGACTGTTTCCTGCTCAGCACCATGGTGGACATCATCTGCCCCACGCCCTGGATCGACCTCCGCACGTTCTTCCCTGCAGAGGCAGCCACAGCAGGCAGAGTTAGTGTGGATGGAGAGGGAGGTGGCAGAGGACCATGGAAGGACCCACTTAGACTGGAAAGTGCAGCAGATTTCATCAGAGAACGAGTAGGAGGGACTGGACATTTCTCTGGCCAAGGGCTCACCACCAGCGCACACCCAGTGCACACCCAGTGCACACCCAGCCACAGCTTCCACGGCAGCAAACCAGTGCCTTGTTTTCTTGCAACCACAACTGGACAGCACTGGGCAGACCATGGAAAACCCCTTCCTGGTTAAGGACAGGGACTCACCCGTCACCTCGTCGTTGTAGACCGCCTGCATCATCAGCTGGGGGTTCTGGACGCAGTCGATGATGCCCAGCAGGGTCCGTGTCAGGCGCAGCAGCTCGCTGAAGCTGTAGAAGCCGAAGTAGATGAGGTTGTGGGCAAGGCTGACGACCTGGGGAAGGACAAGGCAACTCCAGACCTCGCCGTGCTCGGGGCTGGGCAGGAGGATCAAACATGGGGGACAGGGATGCCCAGCAGAGCCTCGCTCGTAGCAGTGACAGTGACACAAACCGTGTCACTCCCTGCCAGCGCCAGGGACACCGCCAGCACCGCACCTCGAAGGTGAGCTTGTTCTTCTCCTCGTTGGCGAAGGGCACGGCCTCGCTCACCACGTTGTTGAGGTAGTCCTCCACGAACTCCATGGTGCTGGCAAACTTGTTCTTCTTGTCATCGCGCGACACATTAAGGTTCGAGTCGTAGCTGCCAGGGGAGACATCGGGGTGAGCTGGGTGGCAGTGAGTCTCGTCCTCCAGGCAGGAGCACTGTCCAGGCAGCTGCTGAGCCATCGTGGCCAGCAGTGATGCCCGTGACAGACTGCCCACTTCCTTCTGAGAGCTGAGACCTACGCAAGTCACCCCACAAAATGCTCCCCTCCCAGTCCCTGCCATGGCATCTGCCACCCCCCCCTCCCACCCCACCCCTCAAAGCCCCCGTGAGCCCCAGAGTCTCACTCTTTGATCGTGATGGCCGTGGGGATCTCGGTCCAGAGCCGTGCAAACTTGACGGGCATCACCAGCTCCTGGGGGTCCCTGTCCACGTGCACGTGCAGCATGAGGTGGCAGAAGGACGCCCGCAGGTCGAAGGGCAGCATCTCATCTGCCATGCAGAGGAAGATCAGGTCCACTCCCAGCTGCTGGGAGATCTCCTTGATGGCCAAATACTGGCGGTCCAGGCACATGCGGGCAAAGAGCTTCAGCTGGTACCTGCCCGGGGATGAGGGGGAGAGGGAGTGAGGCCGTGCAACCCTCACACCCTCACCTGGAGAGAAGGTGCCACGGGATCATCACCTGTAGTAGCTGAGGACATTCTCGTCGTGGGCATTGCCAGCCCGGGCCTCCTGTGCCAGCTGCCGGATGCTTTTCTCGTGGTGGTCGTTGTTCTTGTCCGTCCAGGTGAGCCAGACCTCCTCCTCTGAGTACTCGATGCTCAGGTACTCGTGGGACTGGGACATCTCCTTCACTGGCCTCAGCCTAGGGCAGGAAAGGGATAAATCTGGAGATGCTCCCATGAATGGAGCAGCTGCACCTCCAGGGGTGATGGGGTTTAACCATGGGAGCTGGTGGAGGCAGGACCAGGCACAGACCCCACCGTGGCACTCACTCAGTTTTGATGAGGATGTCGCTGTTCTTGGAGTCCAGGACACACTTGCAGATCAGCTCCTGGGTGACGGGGATGGCGATGTGGTTGGACACGCACAGGTCCGAGAGGTAGTCCAGGAACCTGCCGAGCAGAGGCAGCTCGCTGTCAGAGCGGGTCCTGGGGGTCCCCAGGGACAGACCAGAGGGGCACCCCAAGGGACAGACCAGAGGGACACCCCAAGGGACACCCCAAGGGACAGCCCTGGGGGACACCCCGAGGGACACCCCAAGGGACAGCCCTAGGGGACACCCCGAGGGGCATCCCAAGGGACAGCCCCCCCGGACACGCACCGGGGCTCGCGGTTCTTGCGCACGAGGCTGACGAAGGTCTCCACCTCGGTCTTGGTGATGTGCTTCTCCAGCAGCTTGCGGTTGTTGTGCAGCAGGGCCGTGATGGTGTCCTCGGCCAGGATGTCGTACCCGATCTGGGACTGCATCATCCCGAACTGCTTGGCAATGTGCTCCTGGAGGGGCGGAGAGGTGGTGAGCACGTGTGCCCCTGCCCCACCGAGACCTTGGGAGCCCCCCGGGGTTCTGAAACACGGGGTGGGACGGGGGGTCACCCCCACGCACCTGGTTCTTGCGATAGTCCTCCTGGGAGTGCCGCAGCACGCGGTAGCACAGCCGGAACATGTACTGGTAGGGAGCGTTCTTCTGGTCTGACAGCTCCTCCAGCCTCACCAGGGGCCCTTCCCCGCCCTTGTCCTTGAAGGGGGCTTTCAGGATCCCAAAGATCTGCCCAAAAGCAGAGGTAAGTGCTGTGTCCTGCTCCACCCCTGTGCGTGGCTGGGCAGCAGGTTGGGTGCACCCCTGGGGCATGAGCTGGAGACCAGAGCCTGCTCCATGGGGTTTTCCAGACCTCTGGCCCCCAGCGTGACCCTGGACATTTCCACAGGACCCAGCCTTGCTGGGATGCAGGGCCCCAGGGACACCCACCTGCTTCAGGATGTTCTGCTCCCGCATCAGCTTCTGCCGCTCCCGGTTGGGCTTGGTCACCACGATGTCCAGCACGTTCTGGCCATTGTTGGGGACGTCACTGACGAAGAACACCAAGTCCTCCAACAGCTGGATCACAAACCTGTGAAGGGGCACGGTGCAAGTGGGCTGGGGCTGCTCACCTGGCCAGACTCGGGTCCCTGCAGTGGTGCTGGTGGGTACTGAGGGACCAAAGAGCCCACGTCAGGGCTCAGAAGCCTGCCAGGGAAGCTGCTGCCCAACCCTCTGCTCCCTGATGGAGCTCAACAGCTGGATCTACAGCCCCTATGGTTCCTGTATGTGCCAGGGTAAATGCCAGGGGCTTTGCTCATGGCTCGTGCCAGGGATTTTGCATTAAATGCCTCTGCCCCCTTGGTCACCCCTGAGGGACCTCACGGGGAGGGCTGGCAGGGCGGAAGCGGCTCCCTCTGTCCCACAGGGATCTGTGTTTGCTCAGGAAGCACCAGGAACCCACCCACCTAAAAATAATGCGGTGACTAATGTGGCTGCCCCTATCGTGGGGCCATCTCCCAGCCCCTCGGATATTTTTCCAGCGGCAAAGGAGGGGCCGGAGCGGGGCTGGGCCGTTATCGGGTTTCCTCGCCAGGCTCCTGCGAGAGGCAGGCGTGGATTGGGGTTGTGGGCAGGAAAGCAAGACAGAGCTGGCACCAGGACTGGGCAGGGGCCTCATCCTGCAGAGATGCTGGGGAGCCCTTGGAGGAGCCCAGTCCCAGCTCCCAGGGGAAACAGCCCTTTACCTCCGGTCATTCTGGCTGAGGAAACCTTCGTTCATCTTCTCCACCACGTTGGCCAGCATCGAGCTGGCGTCGTTAGCGAAGTCCAGGTCCCGGATCTCAGACACAGGCACAGAGACGATGGCAAAAGCTTCTTTGTCTTCCTTGGTGGGGCACGTGCCCAGCTGGGAAGCGACAGAGAAGCAGCATCACACACACAGGGCAATGTCGAGCGTGTCCCCACACTGCCACCACCCAGATGACATCAGTGACCCGGTTTGTCCCCATCAGGAGGGCTGGGTGGGCTCTAAGTGACTGAGATGGGCTCCAGGCTGGTGCCCTTGGATCATCCAGGGTGTTTCAGTCCCTGGTAAGGCCTGGGTGCTGGGGGGGCAGGAGCACACTGGGGCACAGGGGATGAATTTGGGCATAGGAGGAGGGAGTGGGGCCACACCATGAGGCGGATGGGTCTCTCCTCGTCGATGTCAATGGGCACGTTGGTGCTCTGGATCCAGGTGTTGGTGCAGAGGTGGCGCAGCCTCACGTAGGAGTTCCTGCAAACAGCACGACGTCCTGGTGAGTGACCCACCCACCCCTTCCCCCAGCACAGCCCCTGGCAGAACAGACTGCCCAAAATTTCACCCCACACCTTGAAGCCTCCCCTCCTCACCCCAGGCCCTCTGTGGGGCTGGTGCTGACGTACCGTGGGACGAAGGAGTCCGTCTTCTGCAGCGTGGTGGGGTCCAGCTCGAAGAGGGAGGCGATGTCGTTGCCGTGGGGCACGGCCACCAGCCGGTACTTGATCTTCTCGCCCGTGTTCCTGCGGCTGGCGCGGCTGCTGCTCCCCTGCACGGGGACGGGGGCTCTGAGCCCGGGGTGGGGCTGAGCCCAGGCTGCCCCCGAGCCCAGAGCCCTGTGCCCGTGGCACTGGGGCACACACTGAGCTTTGCTCGGCCGCGGGGCTGAGCTGGTCACGCACGAGGGGCTGCAGAGCACAAGCGCAGTGGGAGGCACCTGAGCTACGAGGCCCCCCCCTTCTCCAAACCTCACCAACAGCAACCAAAAAAAACCCCCTGAACGTCCAACTATCTCATCTATCAGCACTTCCCCGTGGCCTGGGGAGCCCACATGCACCGGGACCCCTCTGACAGGTTTTGGCAGGGCCCTCTCAGGAGTGGGACACGGGGAACTGCTCTGAGCGTGGGGGTGTGGGAAGCTGTGCTGGCAGCGGGGCAGCCTCGGCTCCAGGCACGGGCACGTCCCCCAGAGGGCTCTGCTTTGGGGCATTTCCCTGCTCTGGGGCACTGGCCAAGAGCCGGCGGGATTGGGGCAGCGGCAGCAGCGGTTCTGCAGCAGCGGGGCTGCAACACAGCTCACCGTGGGCACTGCTTTGGGCTCAGCCACGTCTCCTTTATAACTTGGGTTTTCCTGGAAAGTTAAAGAGGGAGATGAAAGGCAGCTGTCAGTCCTCCCACGAGGTCCCTCCAAACCCCTGAGCATGGGGTGTCATCCCTATTCCTGCCTTCCCTGAACACATCACGGAGAGGAAACCTGCCCAGGTGGGGCTGGAGGACGTGACCTGCACCCAGTGCCCAAGGCTCGGGCCCCGTGAGGGGGACAGGGGGAGCCCCAGGGAGCAGACCCAGGCTCTGCATGGCTGCAAGAACCCTCTGGAGGCTCCAGGTTGAGCTCTCAGTGAGCAACGCTGGCCTTGCCAGCAGCATCAGCCCAGGATAGGGGTCAGTCTGAGATCTTCTCTCTGCAGATGTCAGCCAAGTGTCTTTGGGTTCAAAGCACCCATTTTGGAGCACCAATATTTGCTGTTTTCCATCCCAAAGTGGTGGAAGGGCCCTAGGGGCTGCCCTTGGTGTCTTCTCCAGTTCAGGAGCACTTTGGCACGTGGTGTCCCTGGGATGCCCCTGCTTCCCTGGCAGCAGAGCACAGCCCTTGCTTGTGGCAGCTCATTAGTATCAAATAAACCACATTATCTAAGTGCAGCAACTCCTTTGTGCCTCTATCAGGAGGCCTTGAGCTGCCTTAAATAGGAGTGAAAAAACTTGGCAGATGGTGTTTCCAGACCCAGATTTTGCCCCCACCCTCCCCAGGCAAGGACAGCTGGATGAGTCATCACCAGTTTGTGCCAGTCAGTTCCTTGGAACAGGGTGAGCAACAAAAAGCCCCAACCACCCCCTCCCGGCCCCCTGGGTCAGAAAAGGAGCCAGAAACTGCCATTTTGGCAAGTGAACCCCTTCACTACAAGGTGAAGGGGGAATTTCAGAGGGGAAAGCCAAGCCCCACAACCAGGTGGGTGACAGTGATGTTCATTCACAGCCCTGGTGCCCACATCTCCTGTGAGCAACGAGGAGCCACGGGAGGGCATTGCTGCCCTGCCCAAGGTGGGCACTGCCTTTGCTAGGTGTGGCACAGCCTCTCCAGGGCAGGGCATGCTCCTGCACCCCTCTGCTCACCCCCTTACCTCTGCTGCCAGGTAGTTGCCCGTGGCGAGGTGCTTGAAGCGGTACAAGCCGTTCCAGTGCCCGGCTCCCCCTCGGCACGGGTCGTGGTGGACCACCTGGGAGAGGCAGAGCAGAGCTCAGTCCGTGGGGCTGAGGGACTGGGATGCCCAGGCAGGTACCCCAAAATCCTCCAGACACACTCTGCATCCCCTCCCTGCTCACCTCCACCTCCCACAGGGCGTTGGAGCTGGTGGCCGAGGTGGCTGATTGCCTCAGGGTGGTGCGGAGGAAGACGTGCAGCTTGCCCTTGTACTCATCACAGGTGAGGAACTTCTCCTGCTCGGCGTGGAACAGCCTCACCACGTCCCCCTGGAGCAGGACACGGTGGTGAGACCCAGGCACAAAGAATCACGGAATCATTAAGGTTGGAAAAGATGCCCACAATCAAGTCCAACCTTCATCCGAACACCACCAATGCCAACTGAACCGTGCTGTGAAGTGCCCCATCTGCTCACTTTCTGAACACTTCCAGGGATGCTGACTCCACCACTGCCTGTTCCAATGTTTAACCACTCATGCAGTGAAGAAATTGTTCCATGGCTCTCCTACAAGATGATGTACCTCTTCCTGTGACCCGCCCCTACCCCGCAAAGGGGATGGGAGTCCTCCCGTACATGGTCCAGAGCAGAGCACAGCTCCCAGCTGGGTGGCAGCACTGTGGGACCCTGAGGATGGCAGGGCACTGTCACCTCTTCCCATCTGACCTACCTGAGCTGTGCTAAAACCTGCCTCAGGCAGCACAAACAGTCCCTGGAGCCCAGGGCGGGCACCTTGCACGGGGACAGGGGATGGGACACCCTGCACTGCCATCACTCCTGTTACCCACGCAGCTGACCCCTCTGCTCCCACCCTGAGAGAAATGGATGTGAACCCATCCCTTTACACCCTCAGAGAAGGCAGAGGCTCTGCTCACCAGCCTGTTTAAGGCATTAACACCCCGGGGAGCAGGATGTGGGAAGCTGGGGTAAGCGCAGCCTGGGGATGAAGGTCTGTAAGATCATAACAATCCACATCCATCCAGCTGCTTCCTGGAGGACCTTGGCCCCGAACAATGGCTCGGCAGGGAAAGTTCCTTTCCCAGGCAACAGCCAGCCCTGCTGCAGGGCTGAACAGCTGAGAATTGTCCTCGCAGCGAGAAGCCACTGCTTCACTGCAGCACCGCGTGGGCCTCGGGTTGCCCTCGAGAGCCAATTTAACACACCGAGGCGGAGGGCAATTTAATGCCCTCAGGTACCTGCTGCCATGAGATACTAAAATACTCCCCTCCTGCTTGCTGTTCTGCTCTCCAAGTGATGAATTCTCCCAGAATTACAGTCCTCAAAGGCAGGACCTGCTTTCTGCCCTTGTCACAGAGCCAAATGGCTGTTCACACGTCCTGTCCCCGCAGGGGACCGGGGCTGCATCCCTGGAGCCCGCCAGGCCCGAGCAGCCAAACCTCCTTCCTTACCCCTTTCAGCACTTCCTCCATGTGGTCGCAGAACTGCATGAACAGGTTGATTTTCCAGCTGGTGTTACAATTGACAGAGTTCACCTGAGGAGCAAAAGAGCACGGCCGTGATCCCGGGGACAAGGAAAGAAAGGAAGAAGGAAAAACAACGGGCAAGCCCTGACACCAGCCCTGCCCAGGCCTCCAGTACCTCCTTGCAGCCAGCGTTGTCAGCAAGCTCGTAGTTGCTGGCGTGCAGAGGCTGCCCGGCGTTGACAGGGTTCAGGATGACTTTGTCTCCCACGACTACCTGGGGAGCAGAATGGGAAAGGGGGAGCGAGGATGAGACGGGGCCCCGGGCGGGGAGCCGAGCCCTGGCACGGTGCTCTCTGTACAGTGCCATTTAGGGGCTCCTCACGTTATCCCCGTTGCTCCTCAGCTTCCAGAAGGGCTGGATGAAGAGCCAGGAGCCCTCGTTGCCGGTGGCATCCAGCGTGACCCGCATGGCGTTCTTCTCCAGCAGCGCCGGCAGCCGCTTGTTCACCGTCAGGTACTTGTTGCTCTTCATGTGCAGGAGCTGGAGGAGCAAACGCCGGGTGAGCTGTGGCAGTGCAGCCCCCCGAGGCCTCCCAGAATGATTCCCCCAGCCCTGCCCTGTGCCGGTACCTGGATGACGCTGCCATACTTCACCACGTCCCCGTGCACCTTCTTGTTCTCCGTCTCGTTCTGCTTCTGCTCCATCTGGGCCGCGTGCTGGTCCAAAGGGAGAAGAGCTGAGTGTAGCAGCACCCTCCTCCCTCCCCAGGAGCAAATCCCAGAGCCCCCTCAGCCATGGGAGGATCAGCATCCCTCCAGCCCTCAGAGCGTGTCACCACAGCCCTCCGAGAGCCCAGCCCAGGACCGTGGTGTGGCCCTGAGCAGCCCTGTGAAACCCACTGACAACAGTCCTCGTGGAAACTGAGGACTTCAAAAATGAGGACAGGGACAAAATGGCACCGAAATTCCCCCGAGGCACCAGGTCTCAGGGGGCAGCACTGAACGAGGACTCTCTGCACAGGACAGGGACTGGGGCAATGCACCCACCACGGGGGCTGTGGGGACTGGGGGCTCCTGGCAGCCCCAAAACCAAAGAGCTGGGGCCCTGTGCCAGCGGTGCCAGCGGTGCCAGCGGTGCCAGGCCCAGAGATGGAGCAGGTCCAGACCTGCTGCAGTGGATGCAGCAGGATGAGTCCCCACGAGCGAATTGCTCAGCAGCACTTGCAGCCCCTCTCCAAAACCACAGACATTTTCCATGCGGTGGCTCTGGCAGTGGGAGCAGTGATGTGATGTTGACACAGACGGAGCGAGGCAGGAACTTGCTCCCACAGCAGATCTGGGAATGGTGAGGGTGTGCTGACAGCGCTGGCGCCAGCCTGGGCACAGCCTGGGCAGCACCAGCACAGCGTTCCCCCGCAGCTGGGATGGGAAACAGCGCCGAGGGATGGAGCTGGGAGGGCTCCTGCCCTTCCCCATCCTGCTTTCACCCCCTTTCACTTGAGGGCAGAGGAATTGCGAAACATCTGGACTCGTGGCTTGGCACTGGGAGGATGGGACAGTGGCTCTGTGAGTGGCCAAGCAGGTGAGGGCTCTGAATGTGCCTGGCAGGTGTCCCCACACAGCTCTGGGTGCCAGCCTGGGTAACCCTCCCACCCCACACAGCCACCCAGGGACATGGGCCCTGCAGCGGTGGCTGCTGCCACCAGGAAAACAAACCTGCTGCCAAGAAATCCTGTGCTGATGTGGCTCTGGGAGTTTAACAACAACCCCATGGAGCAACACAGCTCTGGTAGGAGATCCAGCCCCACAGCATGTGCTAAATCTCCATCCAGATCTGAGCAACTCCTTCGCCAACAGCTGTGGGGTGGGAGTGGGAACTGACTGCCCCAAGCATGAGAGTCCACGGGGCTGGTGTTCCCAGCCTGCCCCTGGGATGGGATGGGATGGGATGGGATGGGATGGGATGGGATGGGGTCTGTCCCCATGCCAAAGGATGGGTGTCAGGGATGCACACAAGGGTGGGAGCAGGGAGGATCAGGAGACATCAGCAGAGGGGGAGGAAAACCCCCACAGCCTGCCTGCACTGCCCTGGGCTGCACCTGATTGATCAGCCAGGAAAACACAGAGCCTTAAACCCACCTAAAAACAACAGTGAAGAGCACAGGCTGGGATAGACAACCGTGGGCACTGCCTGGCAGGGCTCGAGACCTGGCTGCTCCTGCCTCAGGGAATCATCTCCACGGGCTGGAGATGTTCTCAGCCTGTTTCTCAGCCTCCTTGACAAAATGCAGGCTGGAGCCTGGTGTCCACTGGGATGGGACAGGGCTGTTGTGGCCACATGGGCAGAGCTGGGCTCAGCTCCCTCTGCCCCAGCTCCTCTCTGGGCACCAACAGAAACACCAGGAGCAGCGGGAAGCAGCGAGGAAATGGCAGAATCTCTTTAAGACAAACCCTAACCAAGGTGCAATCAATCAGGCTCAGAAATGAGCCTCTGGGTCCAGCCGTGGCCAGGGCAGCTGTGACGTTCCAAGCCCCAGTCCAAGGGGGACAGGGAAATGGTGTTTCCATGTGCCAGTGACCACGAGGGGCTGGACATGGCAGGGGGCACCGGCCCTGCCCCAGCACCCCCAAAGCAGGGCAGGACACCCCAGCTGGCACTGCTCAGACCCCCTGCCCACGGCAGACCTGGAGACGCTCTGGTGGAGCTGGGGCTGGGCTGGAGGCCCGATGAGATGATTTAGTGAATCTCTCCTCAGCCTCAGTTTTATGAATCATCCGTGGGGCCTCGCCAGCTGTCTGAGGCCATTGTGCAATGTTTGACATGGGCCCTGGCCAAACCTCGGGGAAGTCAACAGGAGCCTTTCCCTTCCACAGCCCTTTGGAGCACGTCCTGGCCACAGGGCTCCCTCCTGCACGCCCGGGGTGCTGAGAGGGTGCTGGGGGTGCTGAGAGGGTGCTGGGGGTGCTGAGAGGGTGCTGGGGGGTGCAGGGCTGTGCTCACAGAGCTCCTCTGCCCACTCTGCCACAGCTCTTCTGCACAAGGAGCATCAGGAGGTGGGACAACAATGGCTGCTCACGGGGCAAGGAGGGAAAGGCAGGTGGAAATCCCCTCTCATCCCAAAACCAGCATCACCAGAGGTCTGCATGTGATCTCCCACCCAGCCCTCAGGGACTGCCCCTCTGGGCAGGACAGTCCCTCACCCCTCTCACCTGGAGCTTCTGCAGCAGCACCACATCTGCAATCTTGTCCTTGTCCTGCTTGGTCTGCTTGGCCTTCCAGTACTGCTTCTGGGCGGAGTAGCGGTTCATGGGGCACACTTTGAAGAGGCAATCTGGGAGCAGAGGAGGCAGCGTGAGGCTGCAGCAGCCACTGGTGTGTCCCGAGTGGGGTCAATGTCCCCGAGGGACAGGAGCAAGGACCCCTCCAGGACACGGCTCCTGTCCCAGCAGCACCACTGGGAGATGGTCCCCCCCATCCCACCACAACCCCATCTGCTGCCAGGGGGCCGAGGGAGACACGTGGAGGTCACATCCCCGTGTATTGGCCCGAGGGTCAGCTTTAAATCAGGATAAATAATGAGTCCAGGAATTACTCCACTTCTTGGACTCATGATTAGAAGTGTTCCCATCGGAAATGGTTGTGCTATTTGGGAAGGAAAACTTCAGGGGGAGAAGAAGCTCTGATGAAGCCCAGCTGCACCAAAGGAGGAGAGGATCCCGCTGGGAGGGAGGGAGGTCGGGACACGAGCAGCCATCTCCACATCCCTTGTTCCTACGGGACACCCAGAGCCTGCAGAGGCTGTGGATGGACCCTGTGGTGGCCATGCCATTGGGATACACACGTCCATCCCTCCAGAACAGTCTCAGGGAGCTTGGATCACCCGTGCTGGACTCTATGAGCATAATCCCAAAATCTGTGTGTCAGCAGCTGCATTTCAGGTCCTAAAGGATGCACAAGATGCATCCCAGCTCCTCCAAATGCTTCCAGTGACTCCCTGCTCTGCAGATTGTCCCAGTTTGTCTGTTTTTCCCCTCAGATGGGGGGTGGGAAGTGCAGACACCCAGATCCAGGCTTTGGGAACTGAAGCAGGAGAGCAGATGTCCGGAGACAAGGAGGCACTCACATCTCCCAGACCCCTTCCACGGCTGAGGGCTGTACAGGGCGAGGGCAGGAAGGGCTCTGCAGCCTGAATCGCCCTAATTATGCCTGAAATAGCAGCCCAGAACCTTCAGACACAAAAAGAAAATACAAAAGTCCCTTGCATGGCTGGCGGCGGGCCCGAGGCGCTGGCGAGAGCGTATTTATTTACCTGGGAGTGCCGAGCAAACAGCGCCGAGCGCGGTTCTCACCGGCCGGGGCCGCTGGGCCGGGGCCAAGTTTCACATTTCGTTTTACAGGTCTGTTTGCCGGTGGCACAGCCCGTGCCAAGGAGCCCGTGACGCCGCAGCGCGGGAGCTGCCGCGCCTGGCTGCCCGTGCCCACCGCCCCGAGCGGGGCCGCAGCCACCCCGGGGCACCTGCACCCCGGGAATGCTCCACCACCTCGCTAATTAGGCTGCAAGAGGGCCTGGGGGCAACTTGAAACGGGGGGAAGGGGGGGGGAGGGAAAATAATCCAGTAAAGCCACCCGGAGGTGGGTTCAGATCCAAGCCCCGGCTCCATGCACGCCCTGCCCACGGGGCTGCCCCCGGCTCAGTGCTGAGCCTGGTTCTGCCAGGAGGGAAACTGAGGTACAGAGAGGTTTTCACACAAAAAGTCTCCAGCACGGTTTGCTTTGGGAGCCAGAGAGTTTGGCATCTGGGCCAAAGAATCGACAGCTTTCTGCAAGATGGATGGTGGGTGGAAAGCAGGGAAGGCGGGGGAAGCTCCCACGTCAGCACTGCCCTGTGTGAGCAGCTCAGCGGGGGGATGTGGGGCCGACCTGCCCCGGCCCACAAAGGCTGTGGGGGCAAAACCTCCTGCGAGCCCTCAGGGGAACTGGGGACACTGGGGCGAGTGGCACGGCCGAGGGTCCCCCTGCCCCTTGTCTGGGAGCCACCCGACGCTGGCTCAGCGCGGGGTGGAAGCACTGGATTTGCTTTTCCTTTCATGCCTGAACTGGGCTGGGAAGAGCCTCGGAGGGGGGAGAAACCACAGAAAGAAAGCAAATAACTGAGAGGTGTGGAGCGTCTCTCGAGGGCAGGGCTGCAGGAACAGCTCCCGGCTGGGTTCTGGCATTTCCAAAGAACCTTTCGGGCCTGACCTCGGGAGAAGGGTCCGGTTTTCCCAGCGGGATGCCCCGGTGCGACCTGCATCCCGCTCAGCACGGCGCAGGATAGGGCAGGGTCCGGCCACAGGATATGGGGACGGCAGCAGCACATGAAAATCCTGCCCAGGCCCCGCTGCTGCCGCAGGCAAGAGCCACAGCCCTTGTTTCCACGGCTGGCGGCGATGGCTATCGAGCAGGCAGAGCGAGACCCTTCCGGCCATTAACGCGAGCAGCTGGATATCCTGATAGGGTTTGCAGGGAGCGGGGCTGAGCCTCGACCAAACCCGTGCCTGCAAAAGAAATTCAACACCCGCCCTTGGCCAGGCAGGGGATGGAGTGGCTGCTGGGACAAGGCAGCTCCCAGCTCTTCCCATCCAGCCCCAGGTGAGAGTCTGCTGATGCCCAGGAAATGGGATGGCTCCCTGGGCTGTCCAGGGCTGTGGGATGCTGGGAGCTGCTGGATGGGTTGTTAATCAGCCCCATGTAAAAATCAGTGGCAACAGCTCCTGTGGAGAGCCAGGCCACTGCTTGGTAGGACCCCTGAGGGGGAGGATGCCCAGGGGTAAAAGCATCCCACTGCAGGATGCACCCGAAAAAAGTTGGGGGCACAATGCAGAGAGGGGAACTGATATTTAAATAGCTTTTTCTAAAATAGGACGTGAAATGACAGCAGCTGGGATGAAAGGGATGGCTGCTCTAAACCAACCCCAAATCCAACAGCACAGTCACAGGTCTGGGGAGATTTCACAGCTCTCTGTACACTCCTTGGCTATAAACTCCAGGCACTCAAACTCAACTGGGACACGGCCCTTTCCCTGAGATCAGAGCATCCCCAGCACGTGGGGCAGGCACAAGCCAGCACTTCCCAGACCCCCAGACCCTAACCCTGGCATGGGTGCTCAGGGTCACCATCACCTCCAAGGCCATTCAGAGCAGAGATGGAGCTGCCCCAGGCTCACCTCGAAACTTCTTGGGGGGGTTGTCCAGGTCCCCAGCAGCCGGTTCCACCACGCACCGATCGTCCACCAGCCTGCACCAGAAAGAAAGGGGGAGCAGGGTCAGGAACAGGGGGATGATAATGGGGAGTGGCTGTGCCTGAAACCACCATCACCTAGCCACAGCAACAGCACCCAAATCTGTGTCTCCCATTTCCCACCCATTTGCACTCCATAAATCTTTCACACACCAGCACTTGGCTGCTGGAGCCACTCCGGGGTGTCTGTTCTGTACAGAGTGCCCCTCGTTTTCCATCCCACCCTTCGGGGCACACCAGGCTGATACAGATCACAGTAAAAACCACAATGGTTCGTGTCAGCCACTCCAGGCCCTTTGCTCAGTGGCCTGTGCCGAGGCTCTGCCTTGCCCAGCTCCAGCTCCTGGCTGAGCCCGGTGCCCCCCAGGCATAGTGTGTTGGCTGCTGTTATTGCCCTGGTAATCCAGCAAAAATGTGATGAGTTCAACTTCCATTCACAGGTTCTCCCTCTCCAGCTGGGAACTCGCCCCACTGGGACACGGTGGGTGCAGGTGCTGTGGAGGGAGGATGGAGGTGGCAGGGGCCCCCCAAACCCAGTTATTAATTATTATCTGATCAGAGCTGCAGGCTCTGCCCATCAGATCAGGGCTCTGTGTCTCCTCCCTGCCCACCTCTTCGCTTTCCCAGCGTTCAGCAAAATCCCACAGGCTTGGCCTTGGGTGCTGGGGACCAATTTTGGGATGGAGGGGACGTTGCTTTTCAGAGTGACCAAGAACAGCAAAGCACGACCCAACACCAGGATCTGCCCAGAGCCCAAGGGCCGAGCATCACCCGAAGGGCTGCTGGTGCTGGGACACCCAGAGCTCTCTGTGTGAAGCTCCCAAGGGAACTGGGTGCTCCAGCAGGACAGGCTGTACCCGCTCGCCCGCTTTCCCAGCCCCGGGAAGCGAAGCAGCAGGAGGAATCTGCTCCTGCCTGGGAGAGGAGCGGGGAGCGTGTCCCCACCTGCGGAGGCCGAAGCCAGGCAGGGGCTGAGTGTGCAAGAGGATACAGGAACTGTCCCAAAGGGACAATCCATCACAGGGCAGCTGGGTCAGGGACAGGAACAGCCTGGAGAAGGGAGGGGCAGCAAAGGCACAGCAGAGCCCACATTGCCCCCTCAGCCCCGAGGGATTCTCACTGTCCCCAACAAACCCAGCACCCCAAACAGCGTGGAGATGAACGCACTGCTCTGCAAAGGGCTAAAAACAAGGCAGATGTCCTGCCTGCAGATCCAGCTCCCTCCCTCAGCCCAGCCACTCTCCCCCCTGAGGAGGGGGAAATTCCTTTCCATAGCTCCACACAGAGGAATTTGGCCTCGGTGCTGATGGATTGGGACCCAGGGACCCCGGCAGTGCTGTGTCCTTGGCAGTGGAGGTGCGGGCTGGCACCGTGCTCCGACACCCAGCACCGCTCCTGCCCCGCCTGCTCCTCACAGCTCCCCAGGGCTCAGGAGATCAGCCTTAGTTTTCAAACAAAGAGAGAAAAGCAATTTATCTAATGCTTCTGGTGGCAGCAGAAGCTTAAAAATAATTAGCAAAGACCTGGAAGATTGGAAAAAACCCAAGCCCACGAGGTTTCAAACATGGTGAGCTGTGGCCAGACAGAGCTGCCTTGGCTCTGCAAACCTCCCTGTCGGCAGCGAGGGGGTTTTGGGTTCCCAACCAGGCTCTGCCCAAACACAACACCTTTTCCATGGGTCATGACAGCAGGGAAGTAGTTAGGCATATTCCCTGCATGGCATGGAGCCCTGGGAGGGCAGGGAAAGAGGGAGATAGGAAAAACAGAGGCAGCTGTGAGCAGAGGCTGCATCATATGCAAAGCCCCCCACCTGGAAGTGAAGACCACTGAGAGCTGAGCACCCAGCAACCCACAGCTTGGGCTCAGGGAGCGAAGCCCTGAACCCTGGCATGTGCCCACAGCTCCCACCAGTGCCCACAGAGGCAGAAGGTTCAATTCATCTCTGCACTTTAAAATCCAAAAATCCTCCCCTGTCACAGCTGGAGGCCTCCCAGGAGGCTCATTTTCAGTGCTGGCTGTGCCACAGTGCTCACCTGCCTTCCCCGTGCCCAGCATCACTGCTCCACCAGGCAGGATTAGAGACAGTGACCTGCCAGCCTGGAAGTCTTAATTAGTTAATAATCTCAAGGCAGTTTCAGCATCTTTAATCCTAGGATTACACTCTCTGCAGGAATGCAAAGTGTTCTTTTTATTAAACTGATACTCTGGGCTAACATTCCTCAGTTAAAAATTGCTGAAAAGAAAGGATTCTGACAGGGTGGACATGAGTCACCTGGGAGGCGGCTGGAGCCAGGACACGCTCCCACCAGTGAAATAACCGGCATTCCCGCAGCAGGATGGGCCATGGAAGCTCCCTCTGCCATCAGAGCATGGGGGCTGTGTGGGAGCTGGGCACGGGAGGGCACTCACTGCCCAGGGGTTGAGGAGAAAAGGGGCTGTTGGTGTCCAAGGACCGCGAAGAGGATCCTGTGCAGGGCAGGAACATCACACTTTGCCTTCCCAAATTACCCCAGGGAGCAGGAGGGGCCAGACCCTGCACTGGTGAGCCCCTCAAGGCACGGGTGAGCATCTGGCCAGCTTGAAGCCCTGGAGTCCTCACCAGTTCCAGAGGGGCTTTCTGGTGCTCCCAAACTCTGAGCACAAAGTGATTCCCTGGCCCGGGGCCAGCGTGCTTGGCCTCGTGTGAGGCAGAGCCTTCCCCGAGGTCAGGGGAGCAGCAGCTCATCCAGTGCTGCCAAAATCCACCACTGTCAGACCCCCTGAGCTCCCCAGGGACAGGGCCCAGCTGGGGCTGACGTGGAGCTGCTGCTCCTGCAGGGGAACCCGGAGGAGGAGGAGAGCTCCTTGTCGGGTATGGGGCCAGGTCAGCCCAGCTGGCATCCTCGGGGTGCAGGGTGGGCACCAAGCCCCCAGGGAGGAATAAGAACAAAGTGAGTGAGCACAGGGCAGCCACAAAAATGCAGCTTTTCCCCGCTGTCCCTGTGCTGGGAGGACTCAAACTACTCCTCCTCCTCCCTGCAGAGACGGGTTCGTCCTGACCCGGCAGAGCCGGAGTTACCCTTTAACCAGCTGCATCTCCCTGAGCTGCTCCACCCTGAAATCCACCTGCAACCACATGTACAGCTACCAAAGGTGTTATTTCGCCTGAAACAGCCCCTCACCATCCAGGTGGGTTTGCCGCCGGTCCCTCCCCACGTGAGCCCTCGCTGCCAGTCCCGAGCCCCCAGCGGGTCCTGGGAGCCCCCAGGGATGGGGCAGCGAACAAAATCCTCCTGGGCAACTTCCCATGTTCCCAAAACCACTTCAGGCCTCTCCAATACACCCATGCTGTCCCCCCAGCTCTCCCAAGGGACCGTGTCCCTCCCAGGGTGCTGTGACCAGCAGCATGGCCACCCTTAGCCCAGTTCTCTGTGCCCACGGGACCCCTGAGGTGATCTCCTCCTTTGGGCTGATTGACACTGGAGCTGCTTTGGGTATCTTGGCTCAGCGTTCCCACCTAGCCCAGCACTGGGGGTCCCCACCCCTCCCAGGATGCTTTTCCTGCTCAGGAACAAACATCCACTGCAGAGAGGGGGTCTGGGGGAGGGTTGGTGCCAGTGCCCTTCAGGGGGCTCAGTCAGGGGCTGCAGGGCTCCCCCACCCCAGAAACAGCACACTGGTGTCCATCCCTTAACGTGACACCGTGAGCAGCACCTGGAGACACCATCACCCCACACAAACAGATTCCACTGCAGACCCCCCTGATCCCACAGCCAAAGCCAGTCCCTCCACAAGGAAGGATGTCAGGCCAGCGTGGGCTGGCAGAGCTGTTTGCCTTGCAAATGAGCTAAATGAGGTCCCTGTGGCAGGAGGGCCAGGAGAAGCACTCTCAGTGAGTCACCCCGCCCCTTATCACAGGAGTGATTTAAGGTGTGGTTGGGTCTCCCCAGTACAAGGGAAAACTTGGAGATGTGGAAAGAACCCAGAGAAAGCAGAACCCTGGGAAAGTGGGGCTGCCCAGCAGAAGCCATGCTGGGGGCTGGGAGAAGAGGCTCCCCAAACAAGTCCTGCCTTTCAGGTGCTTCTAAGGAAGTCCAGAAAAACACTTGGCTGAAAGGGGGATGTGAGGGCCGGAGCTGCAAGGGGATCAGAGCCACAGAGTCCACACACCTCTACCTGAGCTCCTGCTGAGCCACTGGGACACGCTGTGGGAGCCAACAACCAGCGCTGGGTCCCAACAGAGGGGAACCCTTTCCCAGAGGCTGGAGGGGTGCTCAGCACGGAGGCTGCAGCCCTGCCCTGGGCTGGCTCTGGCACTGCAGGGCAGCACGAGGAGCCCCCTCCCAAAAAGGCCGTGGGGATGTGCCCCACTGGCACAGACAGGCTGCACCTGCAGGACCTGCTGCCCGACACCACAGAGCTGCCAGCATGGACACCCTGGGCAGGTGTGCCCCCCACTGCCCCCCATTCCTGGGCAGCCTGGTGGAGGGAGCCTCGGTGGGCACAGACACAGAGGCCGCACGTGCCCAGCGGTGGGTGAGAGAACACGTGTGGGCGAAGGTATGTGCGAATAGAGAGGCATGTGGGAGCAAGTGCATTCACCACAGATTATAGAGCCGGGCAGCTCCTGCCCCAGGAATCCCATCCAAGTCAGCATTCCTGCCTGAGCTCAGCCTCTCCTCCACGCAGCGTGGGGCAGCTCGCTGGCACTGCCCCACGTCCCCCCGCCCGAGGCAGCGGACACGGTTTGGGATCCTGCCTCGAGGGCAGGAAAAACCCACCCGTGTCCCAGGGCAGCCCTGGCAGAGCCCTCCCCAGCGAGGGGGCACGGCCTGTCCCCACAGCCAGCAGCAACAGGCCCGTGCATGGAGGGGCACGAAGGTCCTGGCCTGGCTCTGCTCCAGCAGCACTGCTGGCTTGTATGGACACAGGAGGGACGAGGGACAGGTCCCCGAGGTCTCCACTGTGTCACCCCACGCTGGGCAGTGAGATCCCTTTGCCAGTGCTGCCATGTCCAGGGAGCTGGCTCAGCCCAGAGCTGGCAGCGCCCTGGTGCCCCAGCCCCAAGCAGCACTCGGTGACCCTGGAGCGATGCCACTGATCACCGGGTATGTGGGACCCCGAGGGGAGACACGAGAGCCACCACTGCCTGGCCAGGGGCTGGCAGCCTCCAGCCACGCTGGACAGGGCTGGGAGCACAGAATGGCCCGTGCCCAGGAGGGATCCTGGCTGCACCAGCCATCCCACTCACACATCCCCTTCCTCACCCCATCGACCCCTCACGCTGCTGAAGCTCATTTCATCCCCCCAGCCCCTAATGGGCAGGGAACGGCTTCTGGCCATAGGGAGGGTGGGCTGGGGGTCCTTCCAGGGCTGCATCCTGCCCCTGACAGCGGCCGGAGCCGGGAGCGAATCCAGAACACCCTGTCCCCCTCCCCACCATCTCTCCCAACTCCTGCTGCAGCACCCGGAGCTTCCCGGCCCCTTTTCCCACCGTGCTCCGGCTCAGCCCCTTCGTCCCGTCCCGTCCATCCCGGGGACCCCGTCAACGCCCACGGGAGCCCCTCACTCACCCCAGGGTGCTGATGAAGCCATTGACGGAGCCCTCGGCGTACAGGGAGACGATGTCCCCGATGTGCAGGAAACTCGACATCTCATTCATGGTTACCCCGACCCGGCGCGGCGCCGCTTCCTCCCGCAGTCACCTTCCCGGGCCGAAATCCAGCATGGGCGAGGGGACCCGGGGGGGTCCCTGCTCCGGGGGGTCCCTGCTCCGCGGTGGGGGTGATCCCAGCCCGGCTCCTGCCGCCGGCAGCACCGGGAGCGGGACGGGAGCGGAGCCCCACGCACAACTTTTACATGTGCTGGGCAGGAAGGGAGCCAGGGAGAGGAGGAGGAGGAAGGGGAGGAGGAGGAGGGGGCGGGGGGATGAAGCTCAGTTAGGGGTCCGCATGGGCTCTGTCCGTCTGTCCGTGCCCCGTCCCGCACAGCTGCGCTACCTGCGGCCAATGGAGCGGGATCAGGAAGTCCCGCCGGCAGCCCCGTGCGGGGAGGGGACCCGGGGCCGCCCGGGACGGGGGGGGCAAGGGGAGGCCCCACCCCCGCACCCGCCTCCCGTCGGGGGGGGGCCGGGGGGTGCGGGGGCTGCACGCCCCGCTGCCCGCGGGGGGCTCCGGGGCCGGGGGAGCAGCCACCGCCCACCCACGGGGGTCCCCCGGCTCGGTCACCGACCCACGAACCCCGGGACGGACCCCCATGACCGCCCCCTCGGGGTGCTCAGCCCCTGCACCCCGGGACGGAGCCCCCCAGCTCGGGGATCTTGCCGTCCCGCCGGGGCTGCGCCGCTTGGAACGACAGCGGGCGCTTTCTGGGGAGCGCTGGGGGTCGCGGGGTGCCCCCCAAACCGACGTGGAGCGGTGGGCACAGCCACCCCCACACCCATCGGCAAAAGCGAGCGGCCACTGCCCCGGGCCCCTCTCCCGCCACCCCCGGTCCTGCTCTGGCCCTTCGCTCCATCCTCCTCCTCCTCCTCCCTGGGCAGCAGGAGCGCAGCGGCAGCCGCAGCTCCCCATCCCTGTCCCCATCCCTGTCCCTGTCCCTGTCCCTGTCCCCATCCCTGTCCCTGTCCCTGTCCCCATCCCTGTCCCTGCCCCTGTCCCCATCCCTGTCCCTGTCCATCCCTGTCCCCATCCCTGTCCCCATCCCCATCCCTGTCCCTGTCCCTTTGCCCAGCGCGTTCCCAGCCCGGGGCCGGCTCAGGATCCTGCACCGCCCGGGGCCGGGAGAGCCCCAGGTGAGGACAAAGCGGGTCTCGCTGGATTTTTCTGCCCCAGGCGAGCACTTGCGGCTTCCTGAAGCCCAGGCGCCTCCTGCGAGCTCTCGGCTCCCAGCAGGGCCAGTTCACACCTGCTTTGCCTCTCACCGTCCCCTCCTGAGCTCACCTGCTCCAGGCACGGGCTGTGCCCCTGCATCCCTACACCGACTGACACCACAGCCCTGCCCAGCACCTCAAAATGCCACCCCCAACCCACCCATTACCACCTGGGCAGGAAGGAGACCCCTCACCCTTCCAGAGCCCACCCCGTCCCTGCAGCCTGGAAGGAGCTTGTCCTTAGCCAAGCTGTCACTGCCAGGCTGGGCCAGCACTCCAGGCTCCCAGTGTACCACTGGTGGGAAAGGACCACGTCCTCAGAGCATCTTCTGGACAGCACAGGCGACCTAGTTCCTCACTTTAATTAAAACTTGCCTGCTGTAAAAACAATATCGGAAGGGAAAAAAAAAAAAAAAAAGCCATGAAGCTTTTCTCATTTATCTCCCTCCTGTCCTCTTTTCTCGCAAACAAACACGGGTTTTCGGGAATATAAACCTTGCCCTAAATAGTGATTTTTTTTTTTTTTTTTTCCACTAGGAAACGGACAGGTCCCCTGGCAGAACAAAGGGAAAAAAATTAGTGCAATTCCTCTGGGGGGAGATGCGAATTCAGGTCCATCAGGATTAGCTGCGTTTTCAGCACAGGACAAATTTAGAAGCCTTTATCTCAGGGCAACAGAGGGGGAAAAGAGAAGATCATGAGAAAAAAAAAAAACCCAACTTGCTGCTGTTAGAAGCAAATGAAGGTTTCACAACAGCAGCTCAAGGAAAGCCCCAAGGAACCAAAGACCAAAACTTCATGCCCAGATCAGCTGCTTTGATCCCAGACATGGGCGGTGCCGAGGGCACCTCACCCTGCCCATGGCTGTGCCATGCCAGTCCCACCAGCCACAGCTCGGCGAGAAAAATCCTCAAAAAATCCTCCCAGTGTCCAGCTCGTGCTGTGGGGTGAATGTTCCAGCTCAGCTGAGGGTGGGGAACACAAAATGTTTCAGGGGTGCCCCCCTTTGCCCACCCTGCACCCTGGGGATGGTGACACTACATCTCCAGATCCTCCCTGGATGGACCTGGGGTGGATAAAACCCTCCCCAGCCCTCAGCCCTGGGTCACGACAGCTCTGTCCCTGTGGTGGGCACAAATAGGGCCCCCCAGCACCTGCCCCCAGGGTTTGCCCACGCACAGGGAGCAGCATGGGCAGGTCACCTCAAGGAAAGAAAAAAGGGCATTTCCCCTGTGGCTCAGTCGCTCTCAGCCGCCCTCAGTGTAGCTGTGGCCCACCCTGTGTGTCCCCACTGTGCACGGGGTCCCTTGGCTGCTCCCCACCTCCAGAGACACTCTGTGCATGGGCTCAGCCCCCAAAATAGCCCCCCAAAATTGGGAGCTGCAAACAGCCTGCAGTGCTCGGGTGAGTGCGAGCCCTGGCCTTGGGGGAGCTCGTGGCACATCACAGGGGGGCCACCTCACTGTGCCAGTGCTCGACCCCAGGCCCTGGGGAGACACAAGAGTTAAAAATAGGAGCATTTCCTTCCTTACCCCCTACTTTAAGCCACGTGACACAGAAAAATTGGGAGTTTCTGCCTCCTGGAGAGGAAGCAGCTGCGGGGAGGCAGCCGGTGAGTCAGGCCGGCAGCACTCATCCCTATCCCTAAGGCACAGCCTCCATCCCTGGCAGCGCTGGAGCCACATTCCTTTCACATGCTGAAATTGCTCCTTTGCAGGCAACTGTTGAAGCTGCAGGGCCCCCTCCCTCCCCCAGGCCCCCGCCCTGCCCACAGGATGCTCCTCTGGCCAAGCTCCCCTTACCTGCCCGCCCTGCCCACCAGGAGCTGGCAGCCAGCACTCCTGCTGTGGGGTGGTGGTGGCTTCCCAGCCACACCACAGCCCTCCAGCAGGTCAGTGGGATCGTAGCCCCTCTGGGGCTGGACAGGAGCCCACCTGGAGCTCAAGTTTGCGCAGATGCTTTGGGAGCAGATCTACGCCAGACGGAGGGGACGGGGAGCGGCTGTGCTGGCTGGGGGTAGGTGGGCTGTGGTGTCCCAGCAGAGTCCCAGTGCCCTGCCAGAGCCCTCTCTGGCTTTTGCATCCCAAACCAAGGCTGGGAACTGAAGGGTGAAGCCACTTGGAAGAAGAAAGAGAGGACTAACTGTAGCTGCCTTTGTCTGAGGAGGAGGAAGAGAGACACTCAGTCCCTTGTGCTGAGCAGAGCAGGGAGCAAGGCAGCTCTGCTGAGGGTCACACAGAGGAGGGGGATTCTTTGGCCAGGGGGAGAGTTTTCCCCCTTGTCCTGCTGGCTCTGGGTGCTCCCTGCCCCTGCTGCTGCCCACAGACCCAGCACAAAGGCTGCCTGGGCTCTGTGTGGAGCCTTTCATGCTGCTGCCTGGTCCTCCCACCCCAGAGAGCAGCAGTGTTGGGGCAGGACCGATCCCAAGCTACAGCTGCCAAAAAAAGGGTTATTTCAACCCTGTTTCTCCTTCTGAGCGAGGATTTCAGAGCCCAGAGCAGCTACCAATGAGCAGAATCGCTCCTTTGGTGCAGGGGGTGCTACACACATCTGCAGCAACGAGGGTTAGACCCCAAATGTGCTTTTCTTGAGCTGCAAACCCAAACCTCCCCCAGCAGCCGTTTGAAAGGCACCCCAAGGTCTGTGGGGGCAGGGCTGAGCCCCCTCGGGTGACTTCATTAACGGCAGAGACAGGAGCAGTTCCCTCCTGCCTGTCCCATCTGCGCCTCCGCCCGCGCCCGGCGCCTCCGACTGTGGCTGTGCCAACGCTCTCCCGGGAGCAGCCACCGTCCCCCGAAATAGCTCTCAGACTGGATGACTTTGGCCCACATCTCAAAGGTATTGAGGCTCGGGGTTACCTCGGAGCACCGGAGCCTCCGTCCCCACGGGGGTGACAGGAGGTGGCCGGGGAAGGGGACAGTGCTGGGGCACACGTGGTCCTGCCCGGCCCGACCTCTCCACGCGCGGGGCGATGCCCACACGGGTCTCACCCTGGCCAGAGAGAGGAGGATGCCAGAGGAAAATAGGACAAAACAGAGCAGTTCCTCCAGCTCCCACACCTGCTTCTCGCCCACGCTTCATCCAAGCCCAGGGTGGGTTCATTCTGCTCCCAGGGTGAGCAGCAGGAGCTGAGCAGAGGGGAAGGTCCCCCCTGTTCCCACTCTCCCTGCTGGGAAGGGTTAAACGACGCTCACGTCCAAGACACTTTGTACTTGGAGTTAAAAATACAGCCAATGCCCCGGTGGCTCAGCGCCCTGCAAGGCGCAGGTATATTTCCACACTCGAGCCAATAACCTTCCCCGAGGGAAATTTAGGCTTTTTATGATTAAAAGGGGAAAAAATAATAGTGGGGAATTAAATATAGTACAGAGCGAGAGAACAATTAGCAGTTGCCGTTAGCGACACCGGGCCAAGTTTGGGACAAACGCCGTGGCTGTCTGGAGAGCAGCAGGGCTGGGGACAGCCACTGGGTGACATGGGACAGGGATAGGGACAGGGACAGCCACTGGGTGACATGGGACAGGGTTAGGGACAGCCACTGGGTGACACGGGACAGGGAGGGATGCTCTGTCCTTGGCAGATGGCCCTCGGCAGCCTGGACCTGGCACGACCCAGAGCCAGAGCAGCCTGCCGGGCCTGGCCACGCCTCGTGGGCAGGAGTTTTTTCTACCTCTGCTTTATCAAAAGCAAATGGAAGTGTTTGCACAGGCTTGTAACTTCCCTAATAAGCAAACACGGGTTAATTGAGAGGTGGAGCAGGGGCTGGGGCTGCCAGCTGTACCCTCACCCTGGGCCAGGATGGCAGCTGGTGGCAGAACAGATGCGGGAAGAGCCCCATTCCTCATTTCCCATCCCTTCTGTGCAAGAGGTTTTGCATTGCCCAGCCCTCCTGGCTCACCAGCCACTCCCTGCCCTGCCCCTCACCTGTCACCTGCGTGCAGCCACCCTGCAAGCTCCTCCACAGCTGTGCAACTGTTTTGCTCCAAATCAGCTGATTTTTGCCACTACAGTCACGCCCAAGCGGGACCATCACTAACGCCTTTGCTGGCTCATCCCCAAAGGGCACACACAATTTATATCCCAGGAAAAACTTCCCCTTACTCCCCCAAGCCCTTCCT